GGAATGTTCCTTACTAAGTGGGGGTGAAGTTAAGCATATATGAACTCAACCAAAGGCTGCTTGTACCTAGCGGGAAAGATAATATTCGCAACCTGCTTTTTGGTTAAATTTTTTTTAGTTCTTGATTTAAATCCATTTAATTTTGTTTAGATTAGTTCGTTTTATTTTATTATTTATTTAAATTTTTTTATATACATATTTTTTTAATTTTTTAATGTAATTTATTTTAATTTATGTTGATTTGTTTTATATTATTTTATTTTATGTTATTTTATTTTATTTTATGTTGTTTTATTTTATTTTATTTTATTTTATTTTATTTTATTTTATTTTATTTTATTTTATTTTATTTTATTTTATTTTATTTTATTTTATTTTTCTTTTTAGTTTAGTTTTTAGATGTGATTTTTTTTATTTTTCCCTGCAGGTCAAGCCGTAGCTGGTTTGCCAAAACTACCATTATAAATGACGGAAATCACAAGTTTCGGTCGCATTTCACAATAGCACAGTGCCTTAAGGCTCTGAGAACATCAAACTGAAATAAAAATCCAAACTTTATTCATTTCCAGCCGCTTTTATACTAGCAGGAAGGAAGAAATTGCGCGTACATAAAACTTGATTGCCTTTTCCCGCAACTTGAATTTAAACTGGCAATTATTTCCGAGCAACTTCAGTGCTAAATGGAAAACTTTCTATTTCCAAGTGCGAATGAAATCATTTGTGCGTATTTGCATGAAATTTTTGGCGAATCAAAGTTGCTTTGGCTGAACAAATTTGGTTGAGAGTCTGTGGATCTGATGCAATTGCTCTTTTTTTCTAAATTTGTTTTTTTTTTTAACTGTAGTATTATAGAGATAATGAGTACCGGAGAGATGACATAACAACACAAATGCCAACTTTTTAAGACTGCTGTTGTTGTGCACTAATAAAGCAATCCATTTTGGACCAGATCTTACAGCTCATTGCGTATTGAAGTGTCAACTTAATATTCTACCTCTGATATTTTTAATAGCATCACTGGGTAGTAAATTCGTGAAACATATTTGAATATGCTTTCATTTTCGTATTTAAGCGACACAGCGGAGGTCACTACAGTGAAAAAAATGTTGACGAATTTCTTATCATTTTAAAAGCTCCTAGTCCTAGACAATATAACATACAGCTGCAGGAAAGTGAATAGTATTTAACCGTCAACTTCCAAATATTTTCCTCTTTAAGTTTCCAAAAGCAACATACCATGTTGATAAGTTGAGTTACTGGATAAGGCTCCCTTGTTATTTGTTATTATTATTGAAATTCCATTGATCCACACTTTATCATGCAGAAGTAGAAAAAATTGCAAGAAAGTAAAAAAGATAATATTTTCAAAGGATCTTAATTAACTGAAATAAGTGTAAACTTGCTCATGAATTTATGCTTTTTTTCGTTTTTTTACTTAACGCACTGTGAATCGTTTGTGATTATTAAATGAAGCAAATAAATATGTGAAGTATAAAATCAGTAAATAAAATTTCCTTACATTAAGTACACAGCTCTCTTCCCGCTGCTATACTGCGTTTTCTGCTCTAACAAATATCTTGGCAAGCTTAAAATATGTAAGTTATTGCCTGCAGCGCGCCTACAAGTATGTTACGCACTGCCAACTTTTGTGAAAGCTCAACCAGCAATGGAACGCAAAACTAAATAACTACACACTTAAATCACTTAGACAACACATACATTCAAGTTCTTCTACAGATGCAAGTGGCTTCGAGCCCAAAATGACATTTAAGTGAAATTTTAGAAGAGTTTTGCATCCGTTTCCTGTCACAAGCAGTCAGCCTACGAAACGGCAAAGTCTGCAGGGCAGCGGATGTGGTTACAAATAAATTCAGAGAAGCACTGATACTACTTTGCAGCTCTTTAGGGTGTTATTTCCTTAAACAGCAGCTGCTGCTGTCTTTTGAGTTTACTCGCAAACTCTAAAACAATTTTGAGTGACGTTAAAATTTTTGTGGGTTTCTTTGCTGGAACAAAACGCGTAAAACATTTATAAGTAAATTCTTCAAAAATATAAAATTTAAACAAAACTCTAAATTTTTAAATTTTTTTCACAATCTTAATCTCTTGTTTCTTTTTACACAAACTCACTGATTGGTTTTTTTATTCGACCTTTTCATTACCTAAAAGCTGATCTAATCCAACAAAATTCATTTATTATATAATTAAATCAGTGGTAAATTTGGCATTCAGTGATAATCTAAAAAAATCAATTTTATTCACAACCATTTGTCAAGGTCTATAATTAAGCGCATTATATTTGTACCCGCAACAAATTGAGATCTTGGCAGTTCCAATTAACTTTTTTTGTTGTTTGCACACTAATCTCATTTTCACGCATAATCTGCGGCAAAAACACAAGCAAAGGGAAAGGTATTATTGCTTTTACCAATCAGTAGCTAGCATTAATCCTATTCAATTTATTTTATTTAATTTTTTTTTTGCTGCATTTTTTCATTAATAATAAAAACTTGTCTAATATTCAGCGGAAATGTGGCCGGAAAGACATTTATTTATTGTGAATACTTGCTGTTTAACGGTTATGGCTTTGAAAATAATGAATCGGAATTTTTTCAATTTCGTTCAGTTAAGCTCAATATTTTATATATAAAAATCGCTAAAATTGTTAAATAAATTTAATTGTTATTATCTGACATTTTTATGCTTAAATTTTCACGTTTCTTTGTATGTACATTATTTAAATAATATATATAAAATTATATATTTTCAACACATGCCGGATGTCAAATGCGTAGTCATTAAAATTAATTTCCTGCGGCTTAAGTTAAAATTTGATTTTATTTATTTATATTTTATTTTTATTTTTCTGTTTATGTTACCGGCACACCGTTAAATTGCAGCCTGCATTCGTACAACTTCCCAGTTATTTTTAAAGCATACATAAAGCCTGGTGTAAAATCAATGCCAAATTATTTTAAAGCTAGGATTCCAAGCAAGTAATTTTCCGAAATTTAGAAAAACCTTTAGCAGGACGGGAAGGACGTGTGACTTACAGGGTCTGATTTTATTCATCGCAAAAAAAAATTACTTTTCAATTATCTACTCAGTGCAAAGTAGCACGCGTTGACAAGAGCGACTGTGCGCTGTATTTCTAGTAGGACATTGTTGCTGGAGTAAATGCTGATTCCAATATAGATAAAATGAACTACAAAGTGGGAGGAAATCCGCTGACTACTTGTCTGATTTCGTTCGCTATTTCATCGTGTTCTTATTCACTACTAAACGATCATATCGCTTCCGTATGCAGTTTAGAGAAAACAGGACTCAGAATCGGCATATGCCAACATTAGTGCGCTCTCTCTTGGTTTCCGTCAGCATTAATTTTGCGAAGCGGCATTATAAGAAGTTACCCTGTCTGAAGCCTACTTTAGTACAGAACGGATCGGATTCTTAGCAATTCGGATGGAACTGTCAGTTGAAACAGCCATGCTAGTTTTGTAAGGATACCAATTGTAGACTCCGTGGAACTGAGTGGCTTCTTATAAAGCTGTCGAAGTAAGATTCACGGGAAGTGGTGATACATTGTAAATATCTGTTCAAAATTGGACCACATTCAAGTACATCCAGTTCACTGGTGGAGAATTAGTCAGAGCTCATTTAAGTTTCAATCGTCGCTCTCGCTTTCATCGCACCACATTCTGCAAAGAGCTCGATGTATGGGCTTTGCAAGTTTTTCGGCACTTTACTTGGATAGCTTAGTGGATAAAGAGGATTTGCAATATTTAAGCGGCTACTTCAGGTATTGGAATGTTTTTCCATGCATAACGAGGTTGGTCTTTATCATCACTGGGTGTTTCACTTTCACTTCGATTCAACATTTCTGGCTATTAACAAAGCTAACCGCTATTATGGCTAAGTATCTATGTGAAAATGGACGATACAATACTCTGCAGTCTCATATTTTTACAATCTTATTCATCATGCAAAGAAACTAGAATAGTGTAGCCTACTTGGAACAAGGAAAGGTAGAGAGAGCTTATTTCGCTAATAAGGAAAGAGTTGTACATGATGAAGGACATTCTAACGTAGGCACGCAGAGAGACTGAGCGTACCACCAAATGACTTTTGCAAAAGTTATAAAAAGGAAGAAGAACTTGTGACCTTAAGGCACATCCGCCACTCAAGAGGCTGCAAATTTTAGAGATTTGAGGAAAATACCGAGTGCAAAATAACGCTGATTGCTCAGTTTTGCCATTTTCACACGTTGGTTTTACCAGCGGATGGGGGTAAATGAGGTTCTCAGTGGCATCACAGTAAGTTCATTGGTGGCTTATGTGTGTTGTTGCCCCGTTTCCATTTAAACATAACCTAACCTTACATTTTTGAGTAGCAAGGTTTATATTAAAACTAGTATTACATATTAAAGTAAACATTTTGAAGAATTAAAAAGAACAGAAACCACTGCCATTTCCTACTAAAACCTCCTTTAAGTTGGCATACACCGCATTGGTATGCGGCACGAAGCAAATGTAATGCCATACCAAGCCCTCTCTTTTTTATTAATTTGCTCTGCGCAATGCCGCAGAATCGTAAATAAAGCGTGTCAAAGTGTCATACCAATATGCGGAAATATATATTGAATAAATAAAGGAAATGCCAGCCGCATTCGACATAGCAAATATTTATCAAACAGAAATCGAACACACTCACACACTCACATACACAAACAGTAACAAAGCAAGCAAAAGTGCTGCCAACGAGGAGAATAAAAGGCAATCAAATGTGTTTTCATAAAACTCTTCGCATCATATTATTTGCACATTTGATTGTATTCTTCTCATTTTTCATTTTTACAAATGTTTTTTTTTTTTTTTTTTTTTTTTTTTTTTTTTTTTTTTGAATTTATGATTAATCTTCCGTCTGTCTATTTGTTTGATGTTCATATTTCATTGCCTCTATTTTTACTTAAATTTATTTGTACTCTCTTTTTCTCATTGCAGCGCGCCTAAAAGCAGACTTTCAATAGTGAGCTTCAACAGATAAAAACTAGTTTTTTTCTTTCTCCGGCGAAGCAGCCAAATATTACTATTGATAGAAGATATATTGAAGCTGCAGTAATAAGTCAAAGCGACCGCAAAAGCAGCAGAGCGTGTAGCGGTGGTGGACCAAACGAATTGAGCAGGAACGGAGAATATTGTGGTGAGGCGCAACTTGGTGGCAAGCTGCTAGGCAAACATGTGGCCGAGAATAAGTATGGCTGGTCTTACTGCCGGCATTCTTTTGCTGCTATGCATCGTTAGCAGCGTTAACTCATTCTCAAGTATGTAATCTGAAGGGAAATGAAATTAAATATCAAAACAAAAATTTATAAGTTGTTAAGTGTTCAACTCAGCGATTACTGAGTATTTCATTACATTTACAGTTATTTGAGAAATTCTTTTACTAACAAAAATTTCTAAGTTTTGAGAATATTTGAAAAAAAAAAACCTTTCTAATCTTATGGCAAGCAACATGAAGAGTGTTAAAAACATTTAGGAAAAAGTTAAAATAAAAATTAGAACTTTTCTTACAGTTTTTAAATTAAAAATTTGGCGAACATTTTGAAATTCATTCCAAAAAAAATTGTTTTTAATCATTCACATACTTTTTGAAGCTCAGCCACTATTTCCAACATTTAAGCAAAAAAATTCACCAAAATCGCACGCAGGAAGAAAATAGAAAAACCAAATTTGTTAATTTTCGAAATAATTAAAATTGTTGTATGGGCTGGGCACCATTTTAACAAAATAAATATTTAAATTTAATTTCACGGCAATTTTTTATACTCTTTTCGGTGCTCAGTAGTAAAACAAATTGAGGAAATTACGAATTCTGCAGAAATTCTTTTTTCTACCAATAAATTGAGCACTAAAACGGCTACAGGCCTCTTTTTTTGTCATGATTATTTCATAATTATTTCGTAAATTATTCAAAATTAATAATTCGGAAAAAAATTGCTTCGGTCTTCATATTGCTTGCCATATATCCTTCCGGAATGTTTATGTGTTAAAATCATTCACAAAAATCATTGAATCAAAGCAGTCGAATGTCTTGAGGAGCGTTTACAATTCTACATAACTCATAATCAGCATCTTCTAAATTCTCACAAAAACCACAACAAAAAAATCAGTTGCATTTCCTTCGCACAAAAAAAAATATTTTCCACTTCAAGAACAAACAAACCAAATACCCAAAAATCAGCAAAAGCAGTTTCTGTAAACCTTTCATCCTCTCAGAAGCATTCACACACACACACACAGACTACACAGACTTAACCCTAAACAAACACACGCACACGCTCTCACTGTTAACTATAGGAATTTCTTCACACCCAGAATCAAGTCTCTTTACGTACATACATACATTTGCATATATGTACAAGTACATATTTAAACCGCCACATTCTTTCACGCGTTAACACATTTTCATCAATTTCCACAACATTTTGTAAATATTTGAGTAATTTTCACCAGCGCCCATATTGTCAACATGTCATAATATATTATTTATTATCAGAGCAAAGACCGAACCACTTAGGACCCAAGGCGCACGTACACACATACTCACATAGACACGCACACAGAAATACACTAAACCATTTTCATTCATCGTCCCTTTATTCTACGCACACCTACGCATACATTTACATGTACTTATATTTTCTTATCGAATCTAAATTTTCTGTTTCTTTACTATTTTATTTACTACTTTTTCATTTTTAATTTTTTTCGTTTTTCTCTACTTCCCCGTTTTTATTGTAATGTAAAAAAAAAAAACTTATTTTTGTTCCACCAAAAATAAAATATTATCAAATCAACAATCACATCAACAACAATAACAACTGTCTACTGCCTCAACCATAACAAAACCAACCAATAAAAAAAAATAAATAAAAATAAAAATAAAAATAAAACATAACACGCCTACCCTCAACTCAAAATATATATTTTTGTCGCGCCATTTACGCTGCGTCGCTTCGTGACTCTGCAGAGTATGGACGTGGCTGCAGCGACATTGGCTGTCTGCCCAATGAAGAGTGTGTCATCACTAGCGATTCGTGCAGCTTCACTCAGCGCGAGGGCAAGGACTGCGGCAACTATCCGAAATGTCAGCGGAAATCTGGCTCCAGCTCAGCATCGTCGGCGCCAGTTAATCCGTCAGGTGATTATAATTTATTTTTGTATTCTTCAGTTTTTTTTTTCTTTGATTATTTTCCTTTTGGTTAGGTGAGAAAAATATCAATTTTAGTAAGTGTAAGCAAAAGCAATAAATCCTAGTTTTGGCAATTTCATTTTTATTATTTTTATATATATTTTAGGGAATTGAAGCTAAAAATTGTTTGTTTATAAGTCTCTGAAGTGAGCAGATTTAATAATATGATTTCTCATTAAAAAATATGGCTTATCGTGAAGAGATAATCTAGAATCAATTATCGTTTTTTTTTTTCAAATTATTAATACGCGATATCATCACGAACTGTAAGTCCTCAATTTGTTTGATAAATTATTAAGGCGGACACACCTCGGACCGTAGCCTTCCAGATATCAGTACGTAAGGCACTTGAAGTTTTTAATAGACCTCGTACTTCACTTAAGTGACACCCTGATAAAATAGTGCCATTCTCTACTCAGTTCATATAGGACCTCCTCAGTTCCATAGATAGCCATATTTTAAGGGGGGGCGTTTTTATGCTCGCGAAGTAAGAAAATTATTAGGTGCGTTTAGCTCATCGTAACGTGTTTACTGACTCGTAATTATACAATTAATCTTTGAGTTCTCGAGTCAACCTAGCAACAAAATCAGTAGTTTAAAGTGAAATGTGGAAAAATTGAATATCATGCCTTATTAAGTCCCTTACCAACAAAGGAAAATCAGTTGCGACCATATTGATGTAGATGTCAATAAACAACTCGAACAAAAAATTTGTTACGACGATGGTTTTAGTATCCGATATAGTCCACCGGTGGTGGCAGCAATTTATCACCCAGTCATGCTTAAAATCCTGTACGCTCATCTTGAGATAATAAACATCATCGCAAGAGTGCACCTCTTTAATGAAGAGAATGATGGTGTATTTAATCGAATTTTTACTAATATGCCGGACTGGAAACGAGACTTTATGCAGTGGCATAAGAAGAGTAAAGCACCTTTAAGCAGTTTATGGTTAATATGAGGTATATAAGGATGTTTCTATTACTAAAGATTACTACGCTTCAACATTAAAGCGACTAAGCAAGCCACTATCCAAGAAAGCGGCAGAAATCACCGAAAGATGCGCTGATTATGCACGACAATGTGCCCACAAGAGCCGCGTATAAGGTGCGCACCGAGTATTTGGATTCTACAGCTCAGACCTGGCCCCGAGTGGTTATTACTTGTTTCCAAGATTTGGGCAGTTTCGGTGCATTTTGAAGTTGAAAAGAAACTATTTGTTATGAGGGTGTAACTAAATCAATTGAAAGACCGGAAAATGTATCCATCCTAGCGATGAACATATTAACAAGACAAAATAACGCCAGCCTCTTGCTAAAATTATATAAGAATTAGTAAATGTTCCGGTATTCAGAGAACTCTCTGCTATTTTTTTTTTATTTTTAATTTTTTTTTTTCTAATTCAAATAATTTTTACTTCAATTCCCAAGTAGAGTATGTTACTCATAAGTTAATTTTAAGCGCTTTTTGTTTTCACAAAAAAAAAACTACAACAACGGTAAGAGATTTATAACGCAAAAGTCTGCTTGAAATGAGCATAGCTAAGTTTCATTTAATAAGAATTGGCCTCACCACGCTTGCAAATTAAGTCACCGTCAAGAACAAGCGCGGGCACATCACAACACAAGCCGCTAAAAGATACACGAAAATCACGAAAATGTTTTAATCCAAACGCATTGGAATGGGAAGACATGAATAACATATTAATTTCACTTTCATTACATTTTATATTTATTTACCTTGCTTTTTAACGGAAAAATATTAATTTTCAGTTTTTGTATTTGTTAACGCAAATTCGCTATTATTTGCTGCAGTCATGATCCCGTTCATTTAAATCATAAAAACTCATCGAATTTCGTCAACTGGATTGTGTTTTAGAAACTTTGACGTTTGCACGCCTAAAAGTAGACAACAAAAAATATTGTTTTTAACTTTTTAATCATTTGTAGTAAGAGTACTATAACTGTATGCATGCTTTAACGGTACATACGTAGCAAATTTTATGCAACCATAAGTAGCTTGTTTAACAATTAACAACAACAAATTTTTTAACTACAACTAATTTATGCCAGTAACATATAACACATATAACTAATTAATTCTATAACTTTTAATACTCCCTCTCCCTCTCTATCTCTCTCGCTCGTTGACACTTGCTCTCACTCTGTAACACTGGTTGCTACATAACAAACGCAAAACAAACAACAAAAAAACATCAAATTAAAAAATCGTAAATTAAAAACTCGTTTCATCGCCTGCATGCACACATCCAACCAACCGTTCATCGTAACACGCATCCTGAATGTCATTCATCTTGTTGTATCCAGGATCAAGTTTCAAACCTGGTCCTGAGCACGCCATATTCTCATCCGCCGCCTCCAACCCCACGCTTAACACACACACATACTACAATGGCAACGGCGGCGGCTCGTCAACGGCCACCGGTGGTGGCGGCAATTCATCACCCGGTGGCGGTGGTGGCATTAATAACATAAATAACGGTTACACGAATAAAAATAGCAACAATGTAAACCCTAATTATGGCCATAACGATGGCAGTGGCAACGGCAACGGCTCGCCGTCCAATGGGCAAAAGTTACGACCGAACGGCGGTGGCAACGTCATTGATCCACACTATGTCTTCGGCGCACCGCAGTCGGTGCCCATCTTACCCAATTTACCCATATTCCCCTATAATTCACCCACACAAGCACCTTCATTTCAACAATTTCCTCAACCTAATCATCCAGGTAGCATGCTGAATCCCGGCTACCCGTCGGGTCTGCAGCCGGTCAACCCCTACGGTCCGTCGTTCGTGTTCGGTCAACAACCCTACTACTCAATGCCCAGCGGCACGGGTGGTCCGCCCGGTGGCAGTAATGGCATACTCGGCGGCAGTGGTGGCGGCTTGGCGCCACCTAGCGGCTACTACGGCAACAGCAATGTAGGCTATCAGAATCCGAACATGTACAACAAACCACCGCCGCAATACCAGAATCAGAACCCCTACAATCGTCAGACGCAGTCACATCCATCGGGCGCTACGCTGGGCGGTGGAGCGCGCAGTTGGCAGACGCTAACTATGCTGGCATGCGGTTACGCTTTATTAACGGCGATTGTGTCGCAACGTGTGTTGGCCTGTGGTGGCCATGGCAGCACGTAATGTCGCATGACGACGCGTCGTTGCGGTGGCAGTGGTGGCAATGGTAGCAATGGTGGAGGCAGAGATGTTACTTATACTTATATATATAGTGTTGTTATCGACGGTCAACGTTTATTAAGTACTTAATGGGTTGCAAAAACAAATTCAAATTCCTGTTTGTATCTATTTGTTTGTGAATTCTGTTACCTTTTTGTTGTGTCTCGTTGCTTCGGATTTTGGGTTAAACGCGTGTATTATAAAAAAAAAAATATTTAAAAAATACTATCAAAGTCAAAAGGTTCCTTGAAATTCTGCAAGACAACGGTGAAAGGTAAAAATCTTATTACAAAAAAATTTTTGACTCAAAAATATCTCAAATATCTTTATTCTCTTTTAAGTATAATTATTTTATTTAAAATTGCACTTATTCATAAAAGTTGAGCTAAGCTAAAATAATTTTCACATAATCACATACAAAAATCGTTGCCTACATTTGGGATGCATAATAACGTAATAACGTATTACATGGTCTACAATTAGAATGATGTGTCACGAAGACTGGTTTTCAATATTGGTTTACCTAGTCCAGAAGAGGCAACAAAAAAGACCTGGTTAGGTAGAACCTCACATCTCTTCTGCAGTGAATAGAAAATTTAACCCTTGGGCAGAGATTAATGGGTTCTTTTCTTGACACTATTTCCACTAAAGCGTAATGAGTTCAAGACTACTTAATTTCTCTGGTTTTCAAGTTTCATCAATTTCGATGTAACCAACACCAATAAAAGCTTTTAGAAAAATGACTTAAATCAATCTTAAGGAAGCGTCTTTGTTTGTAATCCGATTTAAATGAAGAGCATCGGAGGGCAAAGATGGGCTGATTATTCTCTCCGATTTTTATAATCAAGTTTCTTTTCGCGCTTTTACGGGGTATAAAAAATAAGTACCTCACGTCTTGCATATTCTGGTGGGCACTCTTTTTCAAAAACACTCAATAAAATCGTTTCTCATTTGGTATTTGTTCTTTTGCTTTCCTTACTTTTGTAGCGGATCCTTTGCAGGAAGAGCGACTCGAGAATGGAAGTTATTTTCCCAGTCATCGGTTCGCTCGATCCCCACAACTTATGGTTCCAGGCAGTTCGCTATTACCGAGGCCACCTAACATTGTGCCAGTTCCTGCAATTGTACCCGTCAACCCACTTCCACCGTCCATTATTGCTAATCCAATACCTTTGGTTCCGGCACCCAAACAACCCGCACCGCCACCACCACTTCCACCCATGGGTGGCGGCGGTAAGACGGTTGTTGTAAAGCCTGTGGTCATCTTGCCAATCGGTGGTGGTTATCAGCCGTCAGGATATAAGCCCTCGTACTTCGGACCCTCTGGACTCTACCCTTATTTGCCACAAATCTATCCTTCCTATGCGACACCAAGAAGGCAACATCCGAACTACAACAACTATAACTATAATAACAATTATGCGTATAATGATTATGGAAATTACGACTATAACAGCAACAACCGTAACAATTACGGCGGCAATTACAATGATTACAGTAACAACAATTATGGCTAAATGCACACAATCCACCCTGTAAGTGGGTCAAAGTTCAAAATACATTGTTTCACTTAACGGTTTTCATATCGAAGCTTTCAAGGAAATCTCGAATTATAAATTTATTATTGCAAATGCATATGGAATGAGGGGTAAATCCGCACCTGAAAGAAATTTTAGAGTTTCTCACGCGATACACAAACACACTTCGCACCGCAGATTTTCGCCTCTGATTTTGAAATAAAAGAAATTATCTCTGATCTTATCACATTACAGAGCACACTCCAAGCCCGCTCTCTGTACAAAGTCCTGATACCCGCTCGGCTAATGAATCGGTGAATCTACGACTAAAACGTCAATCTGGTTACGGCGGGAGTGGTCAGGGAATGGGTGGACAAGTAGCAGGACGAGGCTTGCCGGATGGTATGAACGGACCCGGGCAAATGGGTGGCCAAGAAGGAATGGGACGAGGATCGATGAATGGTCGAGGTGGGATGGGTGCTATGGGTGGTATGGGCGGTATGGGCGGTATGGGAAGCGGACGTGAACCCATGGGCAGACAAGGCGGAATGGGTATGCAAGGAGGAATGGGGATAGGAATGGGACGAGGATCAATGAACCGGCAAGGTGTGATGGGTGGTATGGGCGGTATGGAAAGCAGACGTGGACCTATAGACGGACAAGGCGGAGTGCCCATGGGAGGGCAACGTAGTATGGGCGGAATAGGAGGGAGACGTGGTGCCATGGGCGGGCAAGGCGGAACGGGAATGAAGGGAGGTCAACGTGGCGCAGACATAAATGGGCAAAGAGCAAATGTCATGCCTAGATATGGGGGTGGCAATATGAGTCCATACAACAACAATGGGTATGGTTACGGAAATCAAAATGGTCCACGTGGTTATCAGGGTGGCACAAGCGTGCAGAGCATGTCTTCAGCGGGTGAGGGGAGTTTCGGCAATCGCCGCTTCACCTATGGACAAACTATGGGCAGTGTGAATGGCAGACCCATGTATGGACAGTCCTATTATAACGTAAATGGACGCACTTATGGCTACGGTGGTAATGGCCTTACGTTGACAGCTCTACCGAATGGCACTTTTCTGGATGGCTATGGCGTGCTCTACCAACCTCAAATACCGGAAAATCTTAACGCCCCGACAGAGAGCACTGACACCACTTCCACAACACGCTTCAGTTGGTTCTGAGCACAAATATAAGCACACACATATACATACATAAATCGCATATTAAATAAGAATAAATGTTTCAAAAATGGCCTTCGTTTCTTCTTTCGAATTATCTGTTGGAAAACATACACGTACATCATGGCAAATTATTTTTCTTATCTCTGGCTTTTGAAAATTGTTTGTAGCAACAGATGTTCGACTTTTTGTATTTTTCTTTTGTTACTGCTGGCAGTCGTTTGTCTTCTGTTTCTAATTGAGTTTGAAAGATTTTCTCAATTTCTCTCTCTATCCTCTTCGATTTATTTCACTTTTGGGCATTTCTCTTTCGTTACTGTGAATTCCCCTATATGCCTTGCGTATGTATGTGTGTGCTTCTATTTGATTTGAGAAAAATTTGCATTTCCACAATTGTTCATTTCTCGATGGGAAATTCAATTAAATTGTGCATACATTTCTAAACGATATTCGAAAGATTCTTCCATTCGATTGCGAGTAGATTCATTTTCAATTTGAAAATTTCTAAAATGAAAATATTTGCTCCTTCATGGTGGAGCAACGATTGCTGACATGCGATTTGCAATCTATTTTCATTTTCAATTCACTGTGCTGGTGCATTCGGTATGAAATAACGGTAAAGCCGAGAAAAAAAATTTTTGTACTCTCCTTTTATGTGTAAAAAAAATGGTTTCCACTACGTATTTGAGAATCCAGTATGCTATTAGCAAGCCTCCATTAATATGCTCCTTGCAATTGTAATTCACTTTAAAAAAAAAATTAATAAAATTATAAATATATGAAAAATATTCCAGAAATTTCTTGGAAATATCTTGCTGAGCAAAGCAGTCTGTTATATGTTGGAAAAATTGCCATAATTTAGCGAAACAAATAAAAGTCGTTGTGCTGGTTTTCGAAATTGCTTGGCAAATTTTTTTATCTGGCAGCAATACCAAAAAATTGAAATCAAAAAAATATTAAATTTCTAAAGAACAAATATGACTAAGAAGTAGATACAATCCATTTCTGAAAAATGAGGGTTAGTCAAACTTCAATAAAACGTTTGGTCAAGCACTTTCAAATATTTCTTGTTAAAAGCAACCTAAGTCTATTAAATTCTACTAAAATTTGGCTACACCAAAGCCATAAATTTAGTGCAAAATAATTCTGAGTCTCACAAACACAAAAAACTTAATATAAAATTTTCAAAGACACCAAAATTATAGCCCGCACTGTCGGCAGAATTTCAAAGGACTCTTTAATACTATTTGTTTTTCGAAATTTTTGCTTGTTTCAAAACTTTAAGCTTCAAACTCGAAAATTGCTAAAAAAAAAAATGTGCATAAAAAATGCATAAATGCTTTAACTATCTTTTTTAATGATATTTGAGATTATACAATAATTATTATTTATTACATATTAAATAAAAAATTTTCTAAAGTAAAATCTTAAAAAGTTCGAGTTTAATATATATCTTTTGTTGACTAACAAAGTTTATGAATTCGCAAGTAAATATTCATTTAAAAACGTTAGTTAGGGCATTGTAACAATTCATCAATTATGTGTTTCTGTAAATTGTTTATAATGTAATTCAACATTTTGCCTCATCACTTGTTAGGCGCATTATTAACTCATTTAAAAGTATAATAAAGAAGGAAGAAAAAAATGTTTCTAATTTTTGTTATATTATATACATATGTACATACATATATATATATATACCAACGCAATTTCAATAAAATTTTTCCAATTTTATGCTAAGTACTGTATTTTTCATATTTTTTTTTTATACGTTTTGATAAAGTTTATTTTAAAATAATTTTTTTTTTTGAAATTTTTTTAATTAATTTTTATATTCGAAATTTTTTCGAAATTCCTATTCACACTTTTTCCCAACATTTTCTTTTCAAATTTTTTTTCTAATAATCTTTAATTCTGTTAGAATTATTTTTCAATAATTTTTATCCAAATCATTTAAACGAAAATATATTTGGCACAACGAAATTTGCATTAAAAATATGTTTTAAAATATGCAGCGAAAATAAAAAAAAAATTTGAAAATACACAAAAAAAAGCAACAAAAGGGTAGTAGATTACATAAGATATAAAGTAAATTATAATAAGAATTTTTGCATAGTTTATTATAATAGAGAAATAAATATTTAAACAAATTTGTATATCAATTAAAAATGCCAAATGACTATAAAAAAAAAATAAGTGAAAAATAAAAAAAATTTAATTTTTCAGCCAGAAACAGAACTACTACATACAAGAAGCGTTATAATAAGAAATTCTACAATGTTGTAAGGCAAATCTATAACTGAATTACTTATAAATATGTATGTGAAATGACCCACTAGAAACGTTGAACCAATGTAAGATAACGAATTTTCAAAACTATCAACTATTTAAAATGAAATGCTAATTAAAAGTTAAAAAAAAAAAATTAAATATACAATTAAAATTAAAAAAAAAAAAGATTATGTAAATTTTTTTTGGCATTCAATATTTTACGCAAAATTTATCAAATGTACTTTGTTTTACGATATAAAAAATATTCAACTACGAACGAGTTACTCGTGATTTCTTTTTTTTTTTTAATTTTCTTTATTCTTAGCTTACATAATATTTAATAACTTCAAATATAAATCAAATTATAATAATTTTAAGAAATTAAATTTCTTTTTGAAAAATATTTAAAATTGCATCGCAAAATTTAAATCAAAATTAAATTAAATCAAAAATTCTTAAAAATGCAAAAACTTTATAAACAATGTGAATAGTGAACCAAAAAAGAAATAAAATCTAATTAAATATTCATTAGCGATTTATTTTTGCATGTTTTTGGCATTCAGAAACATTTTTTAATTTAAGAAAATCTCACGTGCATAAAAACAATAAAAAGATGCGATGAATTATATATATACACACATAATGAAATGCATGTAACTTACCACAAATGCCGTTTACCTCAAATATTTTTGTATGTAACTTTTAAATAAATGAATTATTTTATTATTATCCGCAGCAAAAAAAAAAATATTTTCTTTTATTTACAACAAGAATTTCAGGCTGAATGAAAAATCAGTTTTCAGCTTAGTTATTTTTAAATTTATTTCCGTCCGTTGTAACTAATTTGCGCTAATAAACACATACATACATACATTTAAATACCGAAAAGAAGCACAAAATGCCATAAATAATCATGTAAAATGGCAAAAGCGGAAATCGAATGGCAAAAGCCGCCAACTGTACTTACCGAAAAAAAATCAATCAAATGGGTAATATTAATTATATTTAAATAATTTCCATAAAAGCTTACTAATATTTTTTGCAAAATACAAAAAAACTAACAATAAAAAATTCCTGGAATGGATTACAAACAGCTAACAACTAACTGAGCATGCAGGGGTAGTCACAAGAAAATCTATGTACATAAAATGTAAATCTTTGCATGTATGCATATTTGAACATATTGCTATTAATCACAATTAACAGCAACAACTAATGGGCATTTAGAAATTGAATTTAGCATTTTATGCCTCATATATTGTATTATTGTGTTCATTTTATTGAAAACAAACTAACGACGCAGACAAAAAGTAAGTAAGCCAGCAGAATTAGCAAAGTCAATGACAATTACATACACATACGAGTATACTAACAACAAAAAAAAAACTTAAACATAATGAACATAATTATGAGTTTAGACCAACAAAATTAAAATTGAAATAAATAAATAAATAAAAAATTATTGTACATAAAGCGCATTTCGAAAAATTTTGAAAATAAATTTCAAAAATCATAAGCGTAATTAAGCATAATTTAAATACAACAATTAAAGACTTATAACATTTAGTGAACTTGAAAAGTTGTTTAGCATTTAAAATTACAAAATTTTGCAATTAAAATTTTTTAAGCAAACAAGAATTCAACGAAATAAATTCAATAAAAATATAATTACAAATTTTAGCATAAAAAAGTGTGTTATTAGCGTTATGGCTTTAATTGACTAGTAAATGTATTTATAAAAAAAAATAAATTTAAAAATTATACATATAAGGTGCATACGTAAGACGAATAATAATATTACTAACGATAGCGTACAAATCATTTTAATATTAAAATTACGCATAAATAGGCATAAGCGCATAAAAACCAAATACGAGTATATTAAAAAATTTGATAAATCGTAAGAGTAAATAATAATAATACGCTTATACTTTTTAAAAAAGTATATATATTCAATTCTTATTGGAATATGATGAGATTCGGCGGTTGTTGTTGCGACACAATACATTGGCAAGGGTGAACGCCTGAGTAATTTATAATACCTTTTCGCTGAATTGATAGTTTTTTCCGTTAAATGGAACAAAGAAAATTAATCTAGTCTGCACATTCATGTGTGATTCTAAAAAAATTGAATTTAATACAAAATTCTAAAATAATATTATGTAAAATTCAAGCGAAATTTTCACTACTTACATGGGCGCATTCTTAATTTGGTTCAAAATCAACTTCCACTTAAATTAAATAGTTGAAGTATTGTTTAAAAAAGCAGGTCAATCGTTTGAAAAATAATATATATAATATATATATATATATAAATAGTAGTAAACAAAAACTGATTACCCGTTCAAACTTATTGCAATGCTTTCAAAAAATGTCCGCTGGGAAAAATATTATTACGTCAACAATTTTTTTTTTTTTTTTGTGATTCAATTTTGGATTTTCTGACCACTTCTCTCTCATATTTTCTTTTGCCAAAAAAATATGTCTCGCGGGGGTAATTTGCATATCTATGAGTTTTTTCTTCACAAATCTGGTATTTTTCGACGAATTTTCCAACTCGTTGGCTAATTGTCCAGCTCGTAAACCCGTGTCTCATCAGCCACAATGATGCCGGGATTGATTAAACTTTTAGAGAAAACTTACACCTTTAGAAGCTAGTCAAGCATCAACATATTTCCATCTCAAAAATTCATTCAAAATTTTATTCATTCGGCACAAAAAGTTCGAAGCGTATCTCCCTCAAACTCAAATGACGTTTTTCAGTCACATTACCTTCACCCACTTACCGATGTCAACTTCAGTTGAGGTCATATCATTTTAAATTTTCTGTAACGTTCTCAGCGACTTCGAATGCAAAATTTATTTTTCAATGTAAAATTGTGAGGCAAGTTTTTCGTTCGTTTTTTTTTTAGGCTTTATGAAAATCACTAAGCACAGCTGAACCAAACTGACAACATTGGGCATTTTAAACAAATTAAACGACAAATCGCACCCAGACTCAGCGTCCTAATAAATAACAGTGTTGCTAACTAAGCGACAAAAACAATTTTGAAATTCATTTAAGCATGTTTACCGAGTATTTGATTCCCAGTAATTTTTCGAATAAGACATTTAGTATATTTACTGAAAAAGTCTCTGTACTCCCATTCATACGTCTTTATTAGAAATATATGAACTCGTATACCTACTCAGACAAATAAGACTAAGAGATATCCAGGGAAAACTATTAGTATGAACCGTACTTTTTACGTTACTTTCACATTTAAAACAAAAATTATTACAAATTAAATGTCTCAATTTACTACCAAAATTTAAACTTTTTCTTTGGCACAAATATTTTCGATATAAGATAAAAATTTCTTCAGTAGATATATATTTCTGATCTAGATAGGAAATGCTTTCTTGACATTTTTGAAAATTCATCAAATTTATGTGACATCACCACTTGCTTATTTGCATAAGTTCAATTCTCAAATGGACAGAGGAGAGATAAACTTAAAGTTCCAAACAGATGATTAACTCGAGGGACTTGATAAGTCGCTCGAAAGCTTGCATATTTGCTAGCTGAGATGCTTACCAGAATCAAGAATGACTGAAACATACCAGTCTGCCTGCTTTTCAAAACCGCTTAAAGTGTACCCGCGTGTCACAAATTTTGCAGACCTAAAGCACCCAAATAACTTCCCGACGTAACAACCTCTAATTAAGCCAGTGGAGCTAACTTCCGAATTTCTTCAAGAGGCACCATCTTCCCTATTTCTAAATTCCATCCTCTTCTCCGACCCCCATAGCTTAGACAATGGTGAAAATATGGAGGAGAGATTCCTAGAATATTCAAAGCCTTAATAATGTTTTCAAAAACATCTGACTTTAAGATCTCTGATTTATAAGACTTCTAATAATAAAGCCAACACCATTTACTCAAGCCGTCTGATTTTCATTTTACAAAATAAATGGTCAATTTTTGGCCCACTCAGATACAGCGCCATTAGACTAACGTCTTTTTCAGTACTCGAGGCAACTCTCTTGCTAGTCTTTTGATATCCTTAAAGTCTTTTAGCCATTATTTTTCAATCATACTCTCACCTTTATGCCTCTCACAGGCAAACTAAATAATACATGTTTGGCTGGAATGTCTAAAATCAGAAGAAATCAACGATCGAATGTGTCCAGCCTGCAAAATTTTGATATGTTCGAACTCAAACACTATCTGATATCAATCTCATCATATTTCAAACAAATTATTTAACAGTACTTTTTTGCTTTTAATGTTGTTAAAATTTATTGCTTTTATTGTTTGCTTTAATTTTGTATTATCGTATTTATTGCTTTAATTTCGTTGCTGTAATTTCATTCTCTTCATTCTGTTCTCTTATCTTTTTTTCTGTTTTAACGCTTTTGTGGCTAAAATATCTACTTGCGACTGCGCTACGCTCATCCACGCTGGTAAATTGTGTGCTAAAACTACTAAACAAAAAACCGCTGTTAAATCAACACTGCACGCAAACATAACCGCATTCGTACACAAAAACGTAATTTTAAATATATAAAACAACGCGCCTGCGCACAGTAAGCCACGGCACAACACACAACTCATACAACCCAAGCGCACCGATGCCCGACAACGGTGAAAGTAACAGCTTCAGCGGCGGCAGCAGTGGCAATGCTGGCGGCGGATATGGCGGCGGCGGCGCTGGTGGACACAGTCTCTATCCCACTTTACCAAACACTCCGCCAGCCAGCGGATATAATCCTTATGGCGGCTATCAGCCACAACCCGGTGGATATCAACCACCTTCGGGAGGTTATCAACCCGGTGGCTATCAACCAGGCGGTTATCAACCCGGTGGTTATAATCCAAATGCTGGCGGTAGCGGTGGTGGTGGTTACGTGCCCAACGCGCCGGGTTATGGTGGTGGCAGCACACCGCAGAAACCTAAAGACAAGGAGGGTGGCGGCTTTTTCTCTAACTTCTTCTCAAATCCAGCTGTAAGTCAAGCTGTGAGTGGCATCATTGCAGGCCAGATCGCCAAGACCTTGCAAGGTGGCGGCAGTGGTGGTGGTGGAGGTGCTGCTACCAACGGCGGTTATCAACCAAGTGGTGGCTATACACCAAGCGGTGGTTATGGTGGTGGCAGCAGCTCAAGCAGTGGCTCGTCAGGCAGCAATATTCTTGGCGGTCTGCTTGGTAGTGTCTTGAGTGGTGGTGGCGGAGGCGCAGGTAGTGCTGGAAGTGGCGGTAGTGCAAGCAATTTCCTAGGAAGCCTGCTCAGTGGTGGTGGTGGCAGCGGTGGTGGTGGCAGCAGTGGCGGCAGCAGCGCAACCAACTTTTTGGGCAGTTTGCTTAGTGGCGGCGGCGGTGGTGGTGGTAGCAGCGCAGGCCACAGCAGCGGTGGTAGTAATCCGATAAGTGAAATTTTGGGCTCGCGCAATTTTGGCGGTCTTTTTAGTGAGAACCCTTCTTCATCCGGTTCCGGTTCTTCAGGTGGCGCTAAAAGCTATCCCACACAGCCGCCAATGAGCCAAAATTACTACGGTTGAGAGGAGATCGATGAAGGGAAGCTGCTGCATCACACTCTACTATATTGAATTTTTTTTATTAAAATTATAAAAATAATTTAAAAAAAAACTAAAAATTTATTATAAATATTTTATGAAGCAGCTTAAATGAATATTAATTTACGGAGACGTATATACTCTTATTTTATTTTATAGAAAATAAATTTGGTTACCAATAATAAAGAACAATTTATTAACTTAAATGGAAAAAAATTCAAAATTTTATTTAAAAAAAAACAAAGCAAACAGCTGAAAAACAATAATCAAAAGGCAAGAAATTCATGACTATACTACATATTAGCAATAAAAGAATTTAAAATTAAAAAAATGTAATTTAAAGAAAACTAACAAAATGTATATATGTATGTAGTTAATAATGCGAAGTTTCAGTGCGATAAACGCATAGCAAACAAATATTAATAAATATAATAAAACGCATATTATACTCGTAGTTCTTAGAGGAAATGGTTTTTTAACTAACGAAATTTATTATTTTGTAAATTTGTTGCAATAACTCGCAAAAAAAAACACAAAAATATAAATTGAAACCAAGAAAAAGTTGGCAAACAATAATTTTATCAATCAATTAGTACATAAAAATGTACATATATAATAATACAAAAGCAACAAAATATATACAAATATGCAAAACGAAATTATCTTTTTTAGAAATGTTCACACGATTTTCAATAACAACGTTTTTTAATTTTAATGAATTTGCAGTTAAGGAAAGATTATTGGCTAAACAAACAGTCGAACGAATTTTGAAATGTACATAAATGGCGAAAATCAAATAAATAAACGAAATTATATAAGACATACATATTTATGTGTTTAAATTATGATAGCAAATGGGAGAGCACTAAAAAGGTAAGTGAAACCTTTTTGTCAAAACTTTCCCCAGCAATGGAGATATTGCACAAAATCCAAAAGAAAAGAAACAAAAAAATTACAAAATAGAACTATTTATAGTTGCCTATGGGTGCCACCTCGCGGAATTCTCGTTCTTTTATAGCCAGCGTTGTCATGTAACAAAATCACCTTTTCAAGCCTCGTTTCTGACTAAATTTCGAGTAGTGGACAGCTCAAAAGCAATGATTGAAGTAGATAACATTTCGCATAATCGGTTTCGCCTGGTTTTAGCTGCTCATAATACACCACAGCCGCCATCACACAATGACTCTCCTTATCATAGTATTTTTTCTTCTTGCAGTTATCGTACTGGATATACTACTACTACTTTTCACCTCCAGCCACCATTCGGTACAAAAATTCTTTCCTTTCATGTATTTCGAGAAGCTGGTACTAGGTGAAGAATTTGCTATTCACATCTCTCAGCTTCTACTCATGTGGCATCAAATTGTTTTACCCTTGTATAAATCCAATTGACTACAATAAATTGATACAGTAGATCCTTCAATTCCTCAAGGTTTGAGACTGCAGTCTTTGAATTCTTTCTAGGCTAGACTTAGATACTGAGCCCCAAATTTGGATCCCGTACGTCTAAGATGGCTTTATAAGCATATTAAAAAGTAAAACTTTGTTTTGTAGACTTTTTTTGAATTTAGAGCCTACAACCCATAGCAAGTTCGCAATTTTCAATTGTCCTTTTGCTTTTTTGTCCATGTGATTTTTCCAGGTGAGTCTTTTATCCAATGTAACTCCCAGGTAGGTAGCGATTTCTTTCTGAGGTGTTGTATTGCCATTTATAGAGATTGAAGTACATGTGCCTTTTTTTTAGCGCAAATGTTACTTGTATACACTGAGACTCTTTGACTTTAATTCTCCAAGTTCTTAACCACTCTTCTTTTACTTTTAAATGTTCTTGTAATTTGGAACTAGCAAAAGTTGATGTGAAGAGGTTTCGGTTTGTAGAAATATCGTTCGTACAAATTAAATATAAGACCGGCCCTTAAACACTTCCTTGTGGAACACCAGCAAACATTTCATAGAATTCAGGGGTATAATTGCCTAACATAAAATTTTCTGCCAATAGTAAAGTTTTCTAAGACATCATAAATTTTTATAGGGAGCGTACCTTTCAGCTTGTATAATAGACCATCTAACCAAGCTTTATCAGATGCCTGAGCGACAACGCTCATCTTATGTGTACTACGACACTATGCAGCTGCTCTATTGTGTTGTGTTTTTTTCTAAATCCGAATTGGTGGCATGGTGTGGTCAGTTTCGATTCTAAACAATATTTTTTTTTTAATAAAAGATTATGGAGAATACCGTAATTAAGCTAATAGAAGAAGAAGAAGAAATGGCACGATTTTTTGGTTTTTGATTCGGTTACAATCGCGTAGGCAGTGTAAAAAGAATAAAGGTCTACCAAGCGACTGCCACTCTATGCTTGACCGAAATTTGGCCTTAATACATATACTCGTATGTATGTAGATATCATTCGAGTACGTAATGTTTGGATTTATTCCAACTTTCTCCCCATCTCAGGTTTGAGATATGGTCTAGCCAGATATTCAACTTGAAGTTTCAGAAACTCTTGAGCTCATGATAATGTTTTTTTAGCATAACAAATCATTCTTCAATGCTAAACAAGTGATTCGAGTGAGTAGTTTGTTTTGAAGTTGACGGTAAAATATTTTTTATTTTATGTTTTAATTATGTGAGATTATATAATTCACAAGATATAATTTTATTAAGATAATTCTGCATCATATCTATGCGATTGTCTGTAAGAATCAAAAAAGTGTGATTTAAATTCTTTCGAGCCGGATTTGAACCAGCGACCTATGGATTTCTTTTCATCGTTATATATTTATATGTTAGTTTATCAATCTACAGTCCACCGCTCTACCAACTGAGCTATCGAAGGCGTTGAAGCATTAAAATATAAAAACCCAAGATGTGCTATTTAAAGCTGAAGTATTTATATTCTATATAACAGTCGAAATATCTCTTACTTATTGGATTGCTTCGAATGAGATTATAAAAATATAAATTAACTCATATCTCTTAAGTGTGCAATGATTAATTAATATTTTAAAGGCTATCAAGCCAATGATTTTAGAGCAAAAACAATATATGTATGTGTCTATAATCATATAAAGATCATTTAAATTTGAAATGAGAGATTGTGAATCCAAAATATCCAAACTAAAAAAATTGTTTATCGATTTGCAGCAGAAAGCCGATCAGTTAAAGTGCGGTAGTATTATTTTCCTGACAAAAAGCTTTCAGTTTTGCCTTTAAAACTTAGTATTTAGTATTAGTATCACTAAGTATTAGTATTTGGTGTTATTAATACTTGTACTGAAAATTCCAGTTCTGCAATACAAACTTTGTTTTTCACATTTCCACGAAAAATTTATTTTTTAAAAAAGCATCCTTTTCAGTTGATTCGTAGATTGGGAAAGTGAGAAAGACGCTTGAGTCAACACATTTCATCGTTGTCATTAGATAGAATTGTTAGCATCCAATTCAAAGAAGTCCTAAAGCAACCCATTTTTCTGAAAAAAGAGCCTCAGGATCTTTTCTTTATTTCGGAGAATTTTACATCGAGCATAGAAATCATAATAAAAAGTTTGGCAACAAAATGTGTAATCAACTCCCCTTTTGTCTTACATTGCAACGAGTATTGTAATCAATTTTACCGAGGCTTCCTAACCAACCAACCGACGGAAATACTAATGAAAATTGTAATTGAAATTATGACTGAGTTGTAGCGATAAGTCATTCAATAAACCAGCATGACCGAAATGAGCCTTAGGATGAACTATGTGCTGCATACATACATACACCAATAACCACAATTATGCATATATATTGCATACGAATATATGTATGTAAGTATATTTATCAAGTAAATAATGAAAGCAAACATTGAATGCAAAATCAAATGCGTTTGAGTAAGCAAATACGGCTGAACTATGAATATATGTGTAAATATGTATATGCAAGTGTGTGCATGTAAATATCTTTAATAATACATATATATATAATTTTAAGCGCATACAAATAATTAATACATTCACATGTTCAAACAAAGAGCGAACAAATGAAGCCATTAAAAGTGCTTATCACCGATGACTGCCAATTGTGGCAAACAAATGACGATCAACGTGGAACGGAGGATGGAAAATATCAAATTTATTGCATTTTAGCAGTGAGATTAAAAATAAACTGCCACAAAAAGTCAAAATAAAAAGGCAATAAGAGAAATCAAATATTTTTTTGTGAGATTAAAAAAGCAGAAGAATGAAAACGATAAATGAGCAATACAAATTGATATTAATATTAACATATGTGTATGTGTGTGTGTGTGTGTGTGTGTGTCTGCGCAATCGCATTGGTCACTAGAAACAATTTTTTAATTAAACAACGAAATATTTACAAATTAAATTCTTCTTTTGAAAAAGTTCAAAAGGTCACTTTGCAATTCAATTGAATTTAAGCCAATTAAAAATTGCACACACAACGTTGATAGTATAATAAAAATACATATTGCTGCAATTGCAGTTTCAATCGAAAATTTATTGGAAATCCTCTGATATTCTTTGTCTTCTTCGAACCTTTTCCAAGTAGCAGAGTGACACCAAACCTGCACCGACCAGTCCTATTCAAGACCACATCAAATTTATTATATTTCATTTTAAGAAAAAATTATTAATTCATCTTCTGGTGAATTGGTTGGAGGAAGTTTCATGGTGAACTCTTCCTTTTTCGCTGATGTTTGCTGTCTATGTTTATTTTCATACATGTATATGCGTGAGTATGTATTGAGGAGCTATATGCGGACCAGATGTTAAAGTCATCCAATTTCGATAATTTTCAGCACTTATGTGTTATGCAGGGTTAGTCGTTTTGTTAAAAGGTTTAAGCCTTGGCATTTTACGCGACACCCTACATTATTCAAATGACCGTCTCGTGAATTTTCGCAAACTCTACTCCGTTTGAGGTTATTTTCGAACACTGTTTAGCAGATATTGGGCATTGTCTCAGCTGTAACTTAACGAGTGTTGGTTTTCGAGTACTCAAGAGTCAAAGTTTTGCCCCACCAAAATAGTTCCAATTGACGTCGCCACCACTGCAGACGGCAAATTTTCTCCCAAAAAAGTCATCTTCGCTCGTGTTGTGTGGCA